CCTGCCGCCGCGAAGGCAGTTGGCAGCGAGCGCGAGTCACATGCCCGGCGTGGCGTCTGTTCTCATATATATTGCCGATGGTAGCAAAGATGCGAGTTCCCGGGCATAAATGTGAAGAAATAGCGATATATGTTGAAAGGTAGGTATCTCAATATGCGGTGTGATCAGCAAAGAATCGAATGGCCATTTCTGTCTTATTTGCCATCATCGCGGCCTCTTTCTGACGGCTTGACTTTAATTTCAATTTATTACGAGCACCGACTTCTGCCCAGTATAAAGAGAAGTGCTGGGTTTAAGAAAAGCTAAGCTACAGGTATGTTATCACAGGTACAATATCATGCTTAGTGGCTAGGTTAAATTCCAAAATTTTATTGAAAATACTATTTTATAGAATTAACGCAAGAGCTGGAGTTTTGTGAATGCCTCGATAGTTATTAACCTCTGACACAGGCTTACAGGCTCGAAGAATAATAGACGATTTCCAGGTGTCAGATAAGAATCCCTTTAAAGAATAAACTGAGAAGACATAGCTAAGCAACCGGTGAAAGCTAACCAAGTTCTTAATAAGTGAATTTGAAACACTATCGGTTCCTGAAAAGTGAGTTCGTGCACGTGTATGAGCCTGCCCTAAATAAATGCTGAATTGAACGGCATTGAAAACACTGTGATCGCGGATGAAACGATGGAACCATCTCAGTTTCCGTAGTAAAATGTTTGCAAAGAATACCTATTTAAGATCAGTTTCAGATTTACTTTTCAGTCTTTGAAACGTTTTTGTAAGTTTGAATTATTCTTGATGCAATCATTTGACCTAGGTTTGTTTGCATTAATCAGAATTGTATATTTTGTGAATTTACCCCTATTTAAGTGACTCCAGAAACTTACGATCGAAGGATAGTAAAATGGATAAGAAGACTTTAATCTGGGGTATTCTGTCTGTTTTAGGTGCAACTTTATTGCACCTGTCATTTGGATACTTCTACACAGTTGGCAAGTTTTTAAAAATCTAACAACTTTTAGGAAACATGAACCCATACCTTATTGCTTATATGGGCATAAGGAAGAGTGAAAGCGTCTGGTTTAACGCAGTATCATTTGCAATGCAGTCTGTTTCTATGCCTATTGGAGGACTTCTTGCACCGAAAATTGGGTTCAGAGCTGTGACCATCATGGGGATGATTCTAAGCAGGTGATTATAATTTTTATAATTTAAATAATAAAAGCAGTCCCCTTCGCCCGTGCATTTCCACCACCATGCCCGCAGAAACTTAAAATCAGTAAACTTGAGCGTTTAAAAGTTATGATTTCACACTTCGTATTATGTGAAAGTGGTTGAATTTTGTGCGCTTACTCAAAACTTTGACTTCCCTTTAAATTCGCTCTTATGTTTTGGCTGAGGCTCGTTTAGAATTCTATCTTTCTAATCTATGCATTTCCTTTTTATTTGGAAGGTTACTTCCATTGCTTTGTTAAGCTGTTTGCGGAAAATCAGTAATGGAGACTTGTGATCCGCTTTTGTAGAAAACAGTGGACTATAGTCCACTGTTTTCCAAAACTACAATATATATTTCTATAGTATACTATAGAAATATATATTGTAGTCTTGGAAAGCGCAATTACGAAGCTGTCCTTTGTTGGGCTTAATTGTAAATTCACATGTTACCAGTTTTTCTAATAATAATATTGTCATGTTCTGATAGCACTGCTGCAAAAAATAGCAAAAACCGAATTGCCGACTATAGTCTTTGCTGTTTTTTTTAGCGGCGGAATTCTGCTTTCCAGACTGACGGTGGACCATGGATTGGGACCATTTATCGTGACTTACTGTATTATGTTTGGTCTTGGCATCGGTTTGCCATATTCAGTTCTAATGTCGGTAGCTTCCTCGGTAAGTATACTTATTAAACATTTGGCGAGAAAGTGAACTTTTCAAGTAGGTATATTTATAGACCAAATATAACGCTCTTTAACTTGATTTGCTTATGCTTGATATATTTGTAATGTCATCAGACAAGCATTCTCTTTTATGAATGTCTTAATTACTAAGCTCTTAGGTTTTGAGATTTAAGAAAAAGTTTATTCAGTGCCAAGTCATAGATTAGAATATTGAAACGTTTGTTATAAGTTGATGGATATTGGTACACGAAATTAGTCTTTTACTAAAAAGACAATATCGGCACCAAAATAATATTTTACGTCGCTTTTAAAATATTTACATTTGATATATTTTATCCCAAACTTTCGGAATTATTCTTCCAGACCTTAACATTATACTTAGAGCTGTTTCCTATTTAGTGGTTTCCTGAACATCGCGCAACCATTGTCGGAATCATTACCGCAGGCTTCGGATGTGGAGCTCTTCTTTTTACGCCTATACAGACGAAGATCATAAACCCGCAAGGCCTTACTAACTTAACTGAGTACGTTTTTGTGTATACAAGTTAAAATGATAACCTGCAGATAAATTTAAAGACATCATATCAAATTAATAATGAATAAAAATAAATAATGAACTGTAAGTTTTCTTAACTTAGCAGTTAAATTTGCGAAGGCTTTAAACTCCTCCTTCTATTACTTGTCAATTTATTTGAACTATCAACTTTAGTCCGTCAATAAAGGCCAAAGTCCCGAACGCATTCCTCATCCTCGGAGGCATAATGTTGGGCCTTCAAATAATCGGGTTTATCATTTGCCGAGAAAAGAAAGTCGTTGAAGTAGCAGAAACCATTGGATCCGAAAATGACGCAAAGCTAGAACAGGACGACGAGTACTCTAACGCTGTCAAATCCATGTCAGTCGCGCTTTGCTTTTCCATATATTCCAAAATTGTTACACATATTTACCTAATACTGTTCACTTTTATTTGACAGAGAAAAATCGTCTGCGATATCAGAGGAAGTGGAAATACACGTGTATGCTTTATTTTTACTAACATGAACCTTACGACATAATTATATAAGATAAAGTGGTTATAAAATACTTTATAATAGTATAAAACTTATCCAATACTTAGTTGTATATTTAGCGTACACTGTGATTTTTAACTAACTCCTCACAACTCACCTAATGTTTGTCATTATTTTGGTTAGCGTGAATTTATGAGATTATTAGATCAGATAAAGTCGTTTTATAGGACACGTTTATTCATAGTTTAAAAACATTTGTCTTATATTAAATAGTACATGAAACCTATATGCTGGAATAATTCCTCACAATATGCCTTATGTCCCTCACCACAGAAAACCAGTTCAAAAAAGTTATACACTGAAGGAAGCTTTACGGACTATCGACTTCTATTTGTTGTGGTTGATCTTCTTTTGCAACGTTATACCCACAACGCTGCTATCCTCGACATTCAAGGCACGTTTGAAATCCATATCTCTGTTTATCTTTCATCTTATTTTTAGTGTCATTAACTAATTCTCACTAGACGCAGTTCTTTCCCTTCATATCTCTATCAATTATGTAAGCGAATTGCGATGGGGCATCAAGAAATGGGGATAAGATTCATAGAAATGTAATCTTGTGTCATATTTTACAAACAAAACACGTTAATAAGATATGATATTATGCAATTTTAGGTCTATGGAGGGGAAAGTGGTCTGGATGATCACTATCTCTCAATTATCGCAACTTTAAGCTCCGCCTTTAATGCCTTGGGACGAGTGCTGTGGGGCATAATTGTGGACCACTTTTCTTATAAGGTGAGTTTATTCTTGAGAAAGCTTTGTTTCATGTTCACCTTAAGACGAAAATGCGACACATTCATGCTTACAGTGCGACTATCTTAACGAAAGTTACAAAGAAATTGTTCGGTATTTCGTAAAATAAAAATTCGTCCTAGTTCTCTTATTTAAAATAGAACAAAAATGTGTCGACTTATTTCGTTACAATCTTTTCTTCAGTGTCCGTACGGTATCCTCACTTTCCTATGGGCTGTATTCTTTGCAACATTTCCTGCTATCGGATCTTCGAGCGCGTTACGCTACATCTATCCAATTTGGGTATTTACCCTCTTCTTCCTACTGGCCGGCCATTTTGTTATTTCGCCTGGTGCCGCCGGACGTATCTTTGGACCAAAAAACATGGCAACTCTCTACGGCTTGATATTTTTCGCAACGGTAAGCAACACTTAATGGACATCTCTTTCGTGTTTAAGTTAACGTGTTTGTTTTTAAACGATAGAGTCAGTAAAATAGACTGTCCACCCATGCAAAGGAGTGCTCAATGGTGCCAAGGCAATTCTTATAATATAAATTTGTTTAACATTTAATTTTGACCCAGTACGAGAAAAAAGACTAGACATATTTTGGTTCACTTTAAAAAGACTTAGTGCAAATGCTGTGGACTTTATAGTCTAAACAATTTTACTTCACCCTGATTTTTCTGACAGTATTTTTTGGTTTGGTAAATTTTGGTAGTTTAAACCTTTTGACTCGCGGCCTCATTAGTCCATGTGAGTGTTTCTCGTAATCCTGTCACCACTGGTGGAAGCGGGAACCTATTGAAAACTGCTCTTTTATGCGCGCCAGCTGACGACGCTAAGCGTATGTATTAGAGGGAGTTCCTATGCAAAAAACATGTACTATACAAGTGTTGAGCTTACTTTTTAAATAAGCTTGAATATTTTTGCCAAAACTTAGGATTACGCGTACCATAATATTTAAACCTTTAGTATGAGGCAGGAAAAACCTTGAATGTAATGACTGATTTGATCACTGGATAAATACAAATGCGGGTTATAAAATGACAAAACTGATATCCCACGTTGTCAAACCTTTGGTGGTTTGTAATTTTGAAATATAAGCATTAACTCCTCAAATTGATATTAATACAATGAGTCCAATCAGTAGCTTGGCGAAACGGTTCTTATAACCATTTTATGAGAGACAGGAAATCTACAAAGATCCCCACATTTTCTTTCTCTTTCTCAAAGGCTCCAAGCTCACTGGGTCTCTCTGCAATCATTTCGCAATTTCAAATTGATGGGAAGTGGAACGAAGTCTACCTGTCCGCTGCTGCAATTTGCCTAACTAGTAAGTGTTTGCAAAGTTGTAATCCAACCATTTGGGGGCCACACCCCGTCGATTGATCATTGTCGGCCCCTGCCGACTGCACCTCGGTAGAGCAGAGCACCTCACCATGGGGTAGATTGCGTGAAGTCAAGCCCTAATTGCGCGGACTTCAATTATGAGCCCATGTCCACGGAAAACTGCCTCTTAAACAAATTATGTGATATATACCTTCATTAGTCATATTCACTCACCATCGTTTGCCTTAAGCGAACACCGCTGTTAGTTGAAAGATCCAAAAATGTTTCAGTCTAGGGTTTTTTTTATTGAACTGGACTAAGAAGCTTCCCTAGTAGTTCTTTACTACTCGGAAAATAAAGCATGCTTGCAGCCCAAAGATGCTTAGTTGAATGAAAATCGAACCACCGATAACTACGGCGCTATCAGCGCATGAGGAGGTGAGGGATTTAAGCACATTTTTCCTTCTTTGCAGGCTTCATTCTCTCGTTATTCCTGAAAGACTCCAGTGGTACTTGTACAAGAGCAACAAGTATATGCGGCAACGCCTGCAACGCCTGTCGACCAGTCTCCGAAGAGGAGGAGGATGTCCCTGAGTACGAGGATTACGCGAGCCTTCCGGAACTTTGAGAGACATCTCACAGAGGTTCAGAAATCTTGGAACAAATGTTGCCATCTGCCTTTCAGAAGTTAGCATGCATCACCTTATAAATATCATCAAAAACCTCAACGATTCCTCCCATAAACAAATGACGACTTGTAAATATATTTGAGAATTTTAGTAAAATAATGTTTTATTCATGTGAAACGTTTTAGAACCTTCTGTCCATTTTACCACTGTAAGGCACTCCAAAGTAGGGACTGGCAATATAGCTGTTGCGTTTTCTCAGACTTCCGATTGCTGATTCGGATATCACGGTCGGTTCGTCAACCCTATCCATGAAGAACCTGAAGGGGTAATCCTCCTGCCAAGTGAGATCGTGGTATGTTTGATGTCACGTTCATTTTTCCTTCTGCCTGCGGGACCTGGCAGTCGAGATCGTTGGACCACTCCTTTGAAGCAAATATAGTAAAATGAAAAAAGAAACATCTTAGACAGGCCCAAGTCGTCGAACACCCAGGGTTCTGTCTCAAAGCGTGTTTAACGTTCGCCTTAATACCAAAGTGCTCAGGAGAGCGACAAAAACGATGCAAGCTCTGAACTTTAACAGTAGCCACCTAATCAATCAAAGGTGCAGTTGCGTAAGGACGCAGTAACGGCGCATCCAGGCGCACTGTAGTGAATCAAAAGACGAGGCTGATGAAGAACCATATCCTCGACGAGTGTTCGGATAAAATGGCTATCCGCGCACCTTCATCAACCAGTACATGCACAAATGTTTGTAAGCAATTGCCTACGTAAAAGGACGTATCGGGGGTTATCGGACGACCTCTTGCACTACTTGAATTTGGAATCGCACACAGAGTGAAAGCAACCATTAGGCGTCGGTTAATGAAACCATAAAAGCCACTGCTACAGCAACACAGTGCAAGGAACTTTAACTTGGTTCCATGTGTCACATTTCTCTGCAACAAAGGTAAGAAGACGTTTAACGAAAATGTGGCCGATTATGTGTTCTTTATACGACTGTATCCTTATCAGCGCCTCTATCTGGAAACAAAAGTATGTACGCACCACAGTAATAGTCAGTGGTGAAATTCCGCTTGACGAGCCTGCAGTTAAACAGACATCAACCCTCTTATTATTTTTACAATAAATAAACTATTAATACTGAGAATGTAGGTTGATGGGAAGTGTTAAAAGGAACCTCCTGCATATGATCCTGCTTACCTATCTGGCTTAGCTCTGTCCCCTCTTTGCGCGCCCTGTTCTCGTAAGTTTCCGAGTTCAACGCAAATGTGTCCGCTTCTTAGGGTGACAAGGAGTACCGACGTACACGGTTCCAGGGGTCATTAAGCGTCAGTAGTCAGAATGTACTAGCTTCCTATTCATTTGACGTCTACGGAATCCAACTACTCCTTACAGGAAACTAGTAGACACAGTTGGGATTGGGAGGTGTAGGCCATGCATAGACAGGTTGTTAAGATTCTTCAGTGACTTCAGCAGCGCCTATGTCCAGTAACCTTGGCATGTTTAACTACCAGTCCCTGGTAGAAGAGGCAGGAGAGCGTGCAATAGGTGCTGTTAAAGTCCGTCTTACTGTAACGTCGTGTATATGCATGAGACCAGGAATGTGCCCGCTTTCCAGGGCACGTGGTAGACATCCTCGTACTTGACGGTCAAGTTATAACAGATGTTCTTCTGAAACGAACGATATTTCGCTGTTCCAACAGTTATCATTTGGTAGGTATTTTCGTAGCAAACTTTTCCTGTTATGAATCCAGCTAGACATGAGACCGGGAGTCCTTTGGACATGTAAGTGACTGCTGTCACACAAGGGTCTTTCATAGGTAGGAATTCGTCCCAATACCCGTAGGGAGCTTCTGTTGACCGTGCCAGTAAGGACAATTTTTCTTTGCCTGATGTTCGTTTGAAAATAAGGTGAACAGGCTTTGCACATCCCTCCAGCTGGAATCACAGAGAAGGGCAGTGGGAAGAAAAGGAACCGGCTTTGAATATGACCCTAATAAAATCGGTTCGTTGGATCGCTTGCTAGTAATACTGACCTCGTCCCAGACCCTGCCCGGTGTTTGTATGGCAGCCCTTACCGTCCGTGTTAAGGTGAGGACACAGATGCTGTAGGAATTGCTCCCCGGAATGTGGATAGGACGAAGAGGTTATTCTGCGGACTTGGTGCGCATATTTGAAGCCATGGGGGCAATTCTTCTTAGAACATGGAGTTCGCTTTCAGCACACACACACTAAGGATCCATCTGTTTTTGATCGCGGTACTACGTAAAAATAAAAATAAAATCACAAAATATTGTCTCGCATCCCTGCGACATTTATCAATCCTCTGTTAAAATAAGCAACATTTATCATGAAGAGATTGAAGCAACTGGATTTGTTTGTTTGAGAGCAGCTGAAGATCCCACTTCACAGTCAACACTAGGCAAGTATTAATACCTCATCATTCGCCATTGTTTGAAGATGCAAACAACACAACAAGAAAACTCGATGAGAAAGTAGATTCAAAGTGCCCAAACCCCTTGCTCAGCAAACGTTAATTACCAACCAGATAGCCATTCAGATTACTAATGATTTCTACATCTTCCATCGTCACATAGATTCTAAAAAAGTACAAAGATCACTTTCAAGCAAATTCGGTTAGTCCAGAGCCGCATATATAAAGGAAGCATCTACAGAAGGTTTCTGCACTAGAGGATAACACGCTCTACATAAGGACAACACAAACTCACGGGCAAACCTAAATAACGAAATTTAGCAATAAGGAACTCTGAAACCCAAAGGTATCCTAAAGTTCTCAACTGATGACCTCTGGTTATTCGTAGACATCGAGAGTGAATGTTCACCTTCCTAAAATTCCTCTGCTCAGCGAAGTATAACCAGTTAGAATGTATTCCTAGTGAACCAGTTTATCTTTAAAACCTTCCTGTTCATATAATTGCTAAAATTTAAAGTTGTGCCCGTGATTTCGATAAAATCTCCTTGGGCGCCACACAGGCGAAAAGTTAACACACCCTAGTTTTTTTCAATGCGTGCTGATGGAGCAGCTAGACGCCATGTTTCTCAACGTCGAAAAAGCGTTTTGGCATAAAAATAGGGAAGAAAAGGCTTACGAGGAGGTTGCAAATGAAGGGTGTAAGAACAGCATCTGACGGAAAACCCTTGCCTCACGGAAGGCCGTAAAATTTTGAAATTTTATTATTTTCATCACGCTTGAGTAAAGTATCACAGAAAGCGTGGAAAGGTTTCTTGCGTACACAACGGTGTCCAAATTAGCATAGGAGTTAACTCCTTCAGAGTAGCTGCTTTTGGTAGGCTAGGATGCATTGGGCCACCTTTTGGAAGTCCAGCCATCTAATACAGATGCACATACGTATTTTACTTGCGTGATTGCCTCCACAGGGTTTTCTATGCAGGGAGCGTACTCTTACCATCTGTGTTATAAACAATTGTAATATCATTAATTAGTTATGCCAAA